CTGCTGAGCTGCCAACAGGCGGCTGGATGGTGACTGGACTTGGGAGCTGCGCTAGCTGTGCCCTCCACAACTAAGACTGAAGGATAACAACTTGGCTGTTCCCCTCCCCCAATTCCTCAATAAAATAAAAAAATAAAAAAAGTATCTGATAAAATACGAGTCATTTTTGATCAAAATGCTTTGTTCACTAAAAACAGGAGACTTACTTAATATGACATAGTATTCACCAGGAATCAACAAATAGCAAACAAATTGGGAAAATTATTAGTATTATATCTAAAAAATATTATCTAACCAACTGCATGAGCTAGAAACTTGAGCCACCATCACTGTCAGCCATTTCTTCCTTACCTTCATCTTCAACTCCACCACCAATCCTAACATAATATTACTTAAATATCTCTAGAATATGTCCACATCTTTCCACCAAAATGACCATCACACCCTGATCCAAGCTACCATTATGCCTAAATTTCTGTCAAAGCCTCCTAACTTGTCTACTTGCTTCCACTCTTTGCCCCTGCAATGTATTCCCCACTTAGTACCAAAATGATAGGTGGAACACACAAACTTCGTTATGTTCCACACACTCACTCTCCGGAGTACTACAGAACTGTTCTGTACCACAGAAAAAGTTCATTGTTTTCTATTACTCTTAAGATAAAGTCTAAAACCTTAAACATAGGCCTGCACGATCTAGTCCTTACCCATACTTCCATTTTGATACCATACTTCTCCCATGGCTCAGCCTCCCTGGCCAGTTCCTCCAACACAGTATATGCTTTCCTGTTATGGGGTCTTTACTATTCCTTATGTATAGTATATTCCAGAATTGTCTCCCCAATGTTCCTATCTTGTTAATACCTACTCATCCTTCAGATATCAGCTCAAACATCCCCACAGAAACCTTCTCTAATCTCCATGATAAGGTCAAATCCTCCCTATTAATATGCTCTCATAGTACCATGTCCCTCTCTCTATTGGCATTTGTCAGACTTGTAATTCTATATGTGATTCTTGAATAGCTATTCCCTCTCTAGACTGTTAGGGTCTAAAATGGCAGGTCAAGTGTCTTTGCACAAACTCTCACAAGTCTTTTTGCTAGCACCCAGTACAGTGCTTATACATAGCAGATACTCAACAGATATTTTCAGAATGAACAAACATAAATCAGTACACTACAGCAATATCCACAAAAAGCATAAGGGCATAAACTCTTTGATTCAGAAATTTCATTCTGAATGAAATTATTGAAACAATAGCATACATATTCAAAGATATTCATGGAGGAATATTCGGTATGTCAATGTTTTATCGTTATCAAAATCTTCTGACTTTTAAGTTTGTCAGTAAGCAAAGGAATAAAGCAGCCTTTAAAAAGAATGAGGTCAGGGCAGCCGGTTAGCTCAGTTGGTTAGAGCGCAGTGCTCACAACACCAAGGTTGCCGGTTTGATCCTCACATGGGCCGTTGAATTGCACCCTCCACAACTAGATTGACACAACTACTCGACTTGGAGCTGATGGGTCCTGGAAAAACACACTGTTCCCCAATAAAAAAATACATAAATAAAATAAAAATAAATAAAATAAAATAAAAAGAATGAGGTCTCCAAATACTTTCATAGGAAGATGTCTACCATGTACTGAATTATAAAACAGAATGTCTAAATATTATACCAATATACAGAGGGTGCCAAAAAAATGTATACACATTTTAAGAAAGGAAAAAAACTGTATTAAAATTATAATACTCAATATATACCGATAACCAAAGATAAATACAAGTCATGTGTATACATTTTTTTTGGCATCCCTGGGATACCACAGGCTTGTATCTGCATTTTTAAAGTGTGAAAAAATAGGTACCAAATCATTACTGGTGGTAATCTGAGTGAGGGACAAGACTGTTTTCTACTTCACACATTTCTATACTGATTGCCTTTTTTGCAACTAGTTTGCATTACTGTATACAAAATACCACTTAAACATGGTCTGCCTCTTGGGGTTGGCAACTCACCTGCAGATGAGGTAGCCAGTCCTGTTTAAACCATGAGTACAGTGGACACCAATAAGTTTATCTATAAAATAGGGAATATAGAGTTAAATAAATGAAGTAGAAACCCTAAAAACAAGTTATACAATTTTCTGAAGAGTAACATTTATTAGTTAAAACACTACCGCTACCCTGAAAATAAATAATTCTGAAGAGAAATGTGTTTTTTTAGGAACATACTATAAAGAAGTATCTAATATAAAGTAAAAATTCATTGTCTCTGGGAAATTTTGCATAGCCCCCAATTAGACACAATAGTGTAAACTGGGGAAGGCCAGGTCAGGTACTAACAGTAAAACTGCATTGAGACAAACCCATTTGTCTTAACATAGAATGCTCATCAGTAATTGCTGTAACTATAGAAAAACAGGCTGTAAGAAGAATGAAATTCGTTTCTGAGTGAAACAGATGGAATACCTTCATTTTTAATACTGAATATTAAAAAGAACAGTTTCTATAGTACTCCTGAGTTCCCAAGGTGCTTCCATGCTTTTCTGATTTGCTGTTGCTTACCCGCTACAGGTCTATGTGCCTGGTGAAGCACCTGCGTACACACTCGGCTAAACAGCTCCGAGCTTACAATGAAAAAGCAAGACTTGGAGATGTATGCCCAGGCTACACAGCAGGCATCAGAACAAAGATGAGAATCAAGTCTAAGATTTTTCCAACTATGCAACAGGATTGCTTAGTCCATCATTTAAAAAAATTATATGAGAAACTAAATAAAAAAACCAACATGTAATAGGGCCGGCCAAGTGGCATGTTGGTTAGGAGTTGGCTTGGGATGCCAGCTCTGGGCAGCAGGGCCGTGGTTCAGATCCCAAACAGAGGGCCAGTGATGCTGCGCCATCTACAGCTAAGATGGTGAACAACAGCTCGACCTGGAGCTGGGCTGCCGTGAGTTGCTAGCGACAGCGTAGGCTGCAGTGAGGCTGCAGTGAAGCTGCAGTGGGCTGCCATAAAGCTACTGTGAGCTGCCGGCAGCCACCGTGAACGGCCGTCCAGTGGCCAGCGAGCAACTGCCTCAACCAGGAAGAGCGCAATGATAATACCAACATGGGCCAGTGAAACGACGTCCTCCACAACTAGACTGAAGAACAAAAGGACAGCAACTTGTCTGTTCCCCTTCCCCGATTCCCCAGCGCTGTTCCCTTCCCCCAATTCCCCAATGAAATCTTTAAAAAAACAAAACAAAACATGTAATAATTCTCTGGTGGTGTCTGATAGGAAGGCACTCGCCTTCTCCTGCCTAGATTACTATCTAGTTCTAATCTCTTGTATTTCAATTGATCCTCTATATGGAAGATGTTCTTTCTTAAATATATACATGGCTGGGTTGCTCCCTTGCTTAAAAAAAAAATCTTCATTTTGCAAGGAATAAAGTCCAAATGTTTAGCATAGCATTTAGAACTCTTTATAAATGAGTATCAATCTGTCTCAACTGAACTGTAAATTCACAATGATCTGAACTGCGACTTACAAGGACCTACATGATCCACCTCCCTCCTGCTCCTTGCCAACCTCTCTGATCCCATTTTCTACTGCTCTAACTTCACTCACTCTCCCTGCTCCAGCCACAAGGCCTCCTCAATATTCCTCCAACATTTTGAGGATAGTTGTGCCTCAGGGGCTTTGCACCTATTATTCCCTCTGCTTTACAACACTAGCCATCCTGTCTCCCCCAGATATCCAATGGTTTGGTTCCTCCCTTCCACATGAAGACTCTGCTAAAATAGTATCTTAATAAACAGGACTTCCTTGATCACCCACATTCCCTCACCCCTTTATCCTGTTTTGTTATTCTCCAAAGAACTTACCACCATCTGACATTCCATATATTCACTTGTTTATCTCTCTTCCCCGCTAGAATGTAAAGTATATAAGGACAAGAACTTTCTTCTGTTCCTACTTCCTACAACAGTGTCTTCAACTTCGAAGGTGTTACATAAATAGTTGCTGAAAATTAACATATGAACTCTATGCCCTTTCACACTACCCTGTAGTGGCACCAGAGGCCACCTCTCCACGCCACAATAAATTAAGCCCTGTGCCTTTTGTACCTGTTCCCAATACCTGAGCTGTCCTTTTCTCATTCTGGTAAAATCTTCCTTCCCCCAGCCCAGCTCAAACACTGACTGCTCAGTAAGGCCTTTCTAAATCTCTCATCTATATTCCCAATGCACTTAATTTCCTTTTTATTATAATTAACCCACTATCTTACAGTTACTACATGTTTATCTTCCTAGATAACTGTACATTTCTAATGAACAAAGACTGCTATTCACTTCTGAGTCCCCGTACCGTAACTATAAACCTCAAAGGCTCTCGTGTTTACTGAATAATTTATTTTCTGTGTCTTTACCAGTTCTAGGGAGAGGATTATGTAGGGTCCTTCCCTTCTTCAGTGAGCCTGGTACCTGTGGGAGGGGCTTATAGCAGAGGTAGCCAAATGGATCATAAGCCAGGTCCCGAGATCGCTATGGCAGGGAACACTGCAAGACACAGTGAAGTCAGCCCAACGCAAGCAGGAGACGAATATGGGGATCAGCCTCCGCAACAGACTACACTCAGTGTAACATGTGAACATCAAGATTACAAGCATGTTCTCATGCACTTTCAGTCCTCAGGGAAACAGATGGAACACTTTATAATAATTCCATACAAAGGAACCTGGAAGTAGTGCGCAGGCTGACAGCTGCACCCTAACATCTTAAAGAGGTAATATTTCTGTGACTACAGTTAATATAAATAAGATAATTTATCTCCTCTGTAGATAGTCCTCTGCTGTGGTTATCACAGGCCAAGTCCAACCTCAAGTTTTAAAATACAGGGAAGATCTGTAATCAGGGCTTAAGATATTTAAGAGCTAGTGCCTACATTAAGAGACCAGGTTATAGTTTGAAAATTTGTCTTAAAACCCATTGATCCCCCCTCTCTCT